CAAAGACACAGCGAAGCCAGGAGGACTCTGGACAAACAGGCCTTGCAAATCCCCCACTGTCACCTCTAACTCACACCCGCTGTCCATCAACTGTGCGTCCGCACCACTGTCCACAACACAGGGGTCACAGGGTCCTGTTTCTTTGGGTCATCATTTCTTGTCTTCCGTGTCAACGTAAAATACATTAAGTGCATTCATGTGCTTTTCTCTTGCTAGTCTGTCTCCTGTTATAGATCTCTTAATCATAAACTTTGCTATGGGTCAAAGAAAAATATTTTCTTGTCTATAAGATGGAGTAAAGAGGTGTTAAATTGTTAGCTGGAAAAAAAAATACCAGAGTCCTCGGCAAAGCAGAGAATGAAAAGATCATTACTAAATTACTGACCTCAGCCTTCTTCCAAACAGACCACGACGCCTCGCCCAGTTCCTTCCAGACATGGAGGCTTGAAGTTTGTGGGCTGAGGCGATTCGGGTGTCTGGGCACTGCGGCCCTGTGCTAGTGGGCAGCACCGCAGCGCACAGTCCTAACGCCCACCCGGCCCTTCCCGACGCGGGGACGTCCGGCTACTGATGAACGGCCTGACAGTTGTCTCCGTGGTCTGCCAGTCACAGGGCTAGAAGAGCTGCCTGTCCCCGGACACACGTGCATGCACACACACAATGTGCCTAGTATCCACCAGCAGGACAAATGGTTCCCTTTCCGTTGAGTTGTCAGGTCTTTTTCCAGAAAACATTCTCCTGGTAATGAAGTATCCTGCTCTGCTCTGAGAAATACCTTCTCTCACAAAACCAGGGTCCTGAGACCACTGAGACCATGACACTGAGACACCAAATGTGTCACCGTGGGTCAGCTCAGAACCGGACAGCAGAGCAGTCTGTGCAGAGAGCTCAGTGACCTGCTAATTCCACAGACCGACAGGACCTTTTCACTCGCTCCCCTCAAGTGCCCCTGGCACTCACTCCCTGAATGAACCCTTGTTCTGCGTGAACGCAGCCTGACTTTCTGAGGAGCTCCCGCACTCTGAATTCCAATAATAAGACATCGCTCCTCATCTGCACCTCCTCCCTTCTTTTTAACAGGAAATGCAACTTTTCCTAATTTAAAAAGGGGCTTTACATCTCCCCTCTGGGACTCGGCTGCCTGTTTGACTGTAGACTAGTGTGGGACATTTAACCAGGGGCCCATGACGTTAAGTTGCGGGCGTGCTTTGTTTTAATGGGCAACTCCACCCAGGAAAGGCAAATGGACACTTTTTCCATGCACTTCTTCACGTTCTGCCTTCAAATTACTAGTGATAAGGCGATACTAAGTTACCATTCTTCAAAACATTTACCCCAACACTCTGACCCAATTGTAAGCTCCCCGCAGCTCCGTGGGAACACTTCATTCTCCGGAGAATGACTGACCCTGATCCTGAATTTAGTACGCACACCCTGACAAGGCCAAGGCCTTCTGCACTGTCCCAGGGAAGAGAGCGGTGAAGCCCGGCGAGGTGAAGACCCAGGGCAAGACCCAGCGCGCTCTGGGAAGCAGACTTTCTTTGGAAAGCCTGGTAATGGGTCTGGCCTGTTCATGGCCACATTTAACACCACCTACAAGCTAGACTCCTGCTTCTGTTTATTTCAGGGTACACTTACATCCATCTAATTCCGCCGGAATGCTCGCGTCACGTGATTTAGGGGAAGAGTGTATTATTTCCCGAAGTAGTGACCAAGACCACAGTGTGGCCAAGAGGGACTATAAACTAATAAACAGAGCGGTGGGGAGTGGGAGGCGGGTGCTGCCGCCCGCCTGGAGATGGAGATTCACCTGCAAAGGTGGAGGCGGGGCTAGCGAAGTGCTCGCTCAGGAAGTCACCGGCCCAGTCCCCGGAATACAGGACGGTAACCCGAGCCCCGGCCCTGCGCAGGCGAGCCCAAGTGCTGCAAAGACGAGCTCAGCGATGAAAAGGACAGTGGGACCGCTCTGCGATTCCTCCCGGCTTCCGAAGGACCACGGAACGCTCCCGGCCCGTGCTCCCCCCACCAGCCGGCCGCGAAACTCAGTCTTCGGTCATCTAAGCCGGCAGAGGCGGCGCGGGGACGACTGCGGGTGTCCTCCCTCGCCCGGCTGCTCCTCCGCCCTGAGCGCCCTGCGGGTGAGCAGCGCGGGCAGGTGGCGCTTCCAGGTTGATGGGGCGCCTGGCGAACCCCAAGTTGAGAGAACTGCTGAATCAGGGCGCCCCATTTTCTCAGATGTAGTCAGCCGGTGCTCCTTCCTCTCCCCCACTCCGCCTGCTCTGAAAAGACCTCTACTCTGTCCCAGTGGAGGTCACCTGCGAGGAGCCGGATGTCACTCGACTACCCCCAAACTGTCTCCGATGTCCAAAAGGATCGAACTACCTATGCGTGACCTACAGGGAGGGCACACTCGGGAAGGTGACCCGCCAACGCGGTGCTCAGATTCTGCGGCCGCGGCCCTCTGGGGCTGGGCCAGAGGAGGGCCAGCGCGCCCGGAGCACCGCGTAGTTGCCGCCGTCCCACCGCCTGCAGCCGGGCCCGGGCGCTGCGGGTCGTCCGGCGTAGGGACCGGGACAGAGCGCAGCCTTGCAGCCGCCCGGCCGAGGGGCTTAGGGCCACTTCCCGGAGTCACGTTCTGAGGCTGCGCTGGCTTCCGGCTCCGCCGCACCTGCGCTCCCGACCACGGCAGAGGGGGCCGGCGGCGGGCGCAGGGTCGGGGCCAGCGGCCGGGGGCCCTACCTGTGGTGGAGAGCACCGTGCTGGCGAAGAAGAGCGCCGAGGTGAAGTCCCAGTTCCAGTTGCCCGAGGCGTTGCTGAGCACCGACACGCCGTAGTTGCTGGCCTCCAGCACGCGGCCCAGGAACTGCTCGAGCTGCGGCTCCGACAGGCACTCGTGCTCCTCCAGGAAGCGCCGCTTCAGCTTGCGCAGCTCCTGGCGCAGCAGGTCCTCGTAGGGCAGCTCCACCGACGAGAAGACCACGGCGCCGAAGACCAGGTAGAGCAGGTAGCCGAGCACCAGGAAGCCGAAGCAACACGCC